CCTCAACGTTGGCGCGCTTCTCTAATAAACTCGACAAGAACTTGGATTGTTTGACTGGTTGCAATCAGAACTGGAATGTCCCGTGGTGAAGTTGTAGGAGAAATATATTTGGGACTTATATAAAAAGCATAAAGACCTTGCCGGTAGGAATGGCTGACTGTTAACCGAAAAAAAGGGAGGGTGTTATTGGGTAGTAAGTTGACCTCTACAGGGTCTTAAATACAGGGCTATATTTTTACCGTAATCGATGGGACGTTTCTATTATATCGCGGTTGCAGCAAGCTCAAGTTTAATGTGATTCAGTTTTAAATACCTTTTACTCAACTACTTCACCTTTCGATTACGGAACTGGGTTCCAATGACAAAAAAAAAAGTACCAGAATCTCAATACCAGAGCGACTCGGTACTCCGCTATCTATAAAACATTTTTGACAGCTTCCATGTTGAAAACTCATAATGTACGATTCTCTGACCCTCTCTAATTATCGCCATCGATGGCTAGTTACCATAATCACGTTCGGTATGCAACAAGTCATTTAGAGCTATTGTCGTAAATTCAATGGCTTTGCCACGTTAGGTTTTTATTAAATAGGACCCTGAATTTTGAAAATTCGCTTGAAAGGAGAGGCCTCGTGCGGTACCAGAATTCGTGAAAATCAACAGCCTCTTTTCCGGAATCTATTTATGACTCACTTGATTCTCAAAGTTCAGCTAAGCTGCATCTGCTTTATTTTTTGTTATAAGATTCTTTGGAGCAATTCTAAACGTTCTCGTTTCTTAGCTGGAGCTCTATAGAGTCTTTCCATTGACCTTTCAATTTGATCTCTTGTTGCCCCTGTTACCCTGCGAGACTCCACCTGAAGGCTGGATTGCTTATATAGGGGCCTAGTCAACATCAGAATAGCTGAAAACGATTACGAAACACCAGGTACCGCCAAAATGAATTCACTGTTTGAATGTCCTAGGATGATGATATTACTTTGTAGTGTTACAGAGCCTGTATATATCTTATCCAATACAGTGGAACTTATCCAATATAGTGACTGACTAGTAGCTTCATGCTTTATTTTCCACATTATAAAGCTCATTAGTTGCTTTGAAATAAATTTTAGTTGTGGACAATACCAATGGCTTGCGCAGGTTACAGAAAATTCAGCCGAAAACGGTCCAAATCAATAGAAAATTTTACTCGTTTTTTTTTTAGAAATACCCAGCAATATGCTGAATTTTGCAGTTGAATAATAGGTAACTCTGATATCATATTCCTTATAGAACGATTAGAGAATGATCGCTAATTAACGAGCAGCTATAAAATATGCTTGGCCTATTTCACAGTTGCTCGTTATCATTATGAATCTGTAGCATCTGTTACTGAACTTCCCGATTACCTGAAGTTTTACCGTTTTCGTTGACCCACAAATCATTCGTCATTCTCGACAGCCATGATCGATGATAATCTGACTAAAATGCTATGTATGCCAAGCGTTATTTAGAATGCAGCTGGCACTTTATAAAAAGAAACTAGAGACGTGCAATGACGCACTGTAACAATAATTCGAATTAAAAAAAACTGGGCTCGAAACATTTTGGGCCAAAGCATAATTGGCCATACGTCAATGTCACACATTGACATAGCATGTTAACCAGGTTGCAGTAACTATCTAACCTACGTAACAATTGTTTCACGTCATGTAAAAGATCGCATCAAGGTCTAGCTGCATTCATCTTATATACAGGCTCAGCACATGAAAGGACGACCGTGTGATAATCTTTGGCAAACAAGCAGCTTCTGCTCTAACACATTGTATTAAAAATTATATCGAAGTTAAGAAATATCGTTCCAGCCCGACCAATGACATACTCTACATGACATGTATGATTAAGTAATGAAGAAATAAACAAACCAATGAGCAGCAGAAAAATATCCGATTTTCTTCAGCTCACAAAATCCTACACGTTTCTAGTTGCTACTATCTTATTAATGAAGCCGATGTACTATAGAAAGAAAACCCTGCAAGAGAAAATTAGTATCTGGGCAACTACAAGCTAGCATACGTCGCTGGCATTTATAAGGCCTGTTAGACCCAGATTATTTGGACGATCCCAATCATCGTTAATTTCTATTCATTATATTATCGTTTTCCTTATTGTGCGTCTTAAAGCACTGCTCTCTTTCATTTCCTTCTACAATATGACAGCGTGAAAATCTCTTTGCTCGTCATAATAGCGGACGTTCGTAGGATTCAGCCTAAAGCATTTGTAGACGTCACCGGGTCGTAGGCACTTGGGTATGAACAACTAACAAACACGACAGGGCCATATTCGGGGGTCCGATAGCTTGGTCGCCGCGGTCGCTTAGGCCACTGAGGACTTGACACTAAGGCTCATCAGCCGTTGGAGTCATCAACTAGGCCGTTATCAGTTGACCAGTTTGCTTGCCTTTAATGGCGGACCTCGCGGCCGCCGATGCCGCTGTTGTTAAGCGGTCGAAAATTAATGAACATTGCTGCCAGAGGGCGCGGCTATCTGGTCTGTTCACCGCTCGCTGAGGAACAGCATAAAGCAAGTGCTCAGCCATGACCAGGATCCTCAAGCCTTGTAATCTCTGCCTTTCAATAAATTAAACTGGCGCTGAACCCGATATGAACCCTTTTGTCTCGTTGATTATGAATCGAGTTGCGCTAAATCTCTCCACCCATTCCATAAGGTGAGCCCGTGACTGAATTGGCGACATCATTACCGGTCAGTACCGTGTTACCGTAATGTAGGAGAGGATTCGAACGCATGCAGAGATTGGTTAAGATTGACCACCGGTCACAGTCCGTAAGCACAGATAGTTACACAGGCGATCAAATAAGCGAGGATCGCAAATTAAATAATAATAATATTTTCTTTTCTTTGTGGGCCTGGCCTATTTGCGAGTGTATCTTCAGGCCCTCTACGACAGCAACGATCCAGACAGCAGTTCATCAAAGAGAAATAACGGAAGTGCTATTAGAATAATAAAATGATCAATATTGATGCTGTATCAAAGAGGCGAAATTCTATTTCTTGTAAAAAAAAAAAAAAAAAAGGATGCGCTATACAGGACGATATAGAAATGCTTTCTTGTTTTTACATAAGAGTTCGTTGTTATTTTTCCTTTACTTTACTTTGTGGTTTTTTTTTACCATGCATAGCTTCGAGCTAATCCATGTTGTTGCTGTTGGTGGGGTTGATGTCGTTAGGTTTTAGTATGTAGAGTGATATTTTACAATTTTGTCGATATTTATGCTGCTTACTATAGCATAAGTCAATAATTCGTATAGAAAGCATTGAGGATTTCCCCAGACACACGGTACAAACCCCAGACGCGCCATTCCAGGAAGCCGATTTCTGTCTATCGGTACATACGCGTGCGATGCAACTCGTACAATTAACGAGCATAATCACATTTGTTAAGCCGGATTAAGCTTGTTAGTGTGGGCAGTCTATCTGTTCGGCTTATCTTTGAAACAGATCAGGTTCGACTAACCCCTAATTTCATTGATAAAAAAAAAAATGATGGAAACAGCTTCGAAGTCACCCGCTTCCTTGACAGCGGCCACTTCGGCAGTGATTCTCGAACTAAGAGTGGGTTGCTCCTTATAACAGATCGTTTTATTGTAAACGCTGACTTCGGATCAGTATCAGGAAAAACTTAACTAGCTTTAGCATTAGAGTATAAGCTGGTACGTTTATTAGCGGAAGTGGATAACCGATTCAATTGAATTGACAGTATTCAATAACAATCGTTAAAGTTATTTTATTTGCAGTTTTTTTGCTGATCTCTCCCATATTACAATGGATTGAAGGCGTAATCTTTAATCACTACGACTGTAGTGCCTGTCTCTTTCAGAATTCCCCGACGATGGCACACCCGCTTCAAAGACGTTAAACAACTGACGCTAGTTGCTTTGTTCAGATTCTATAGATAGTCCTTTCTATTAACATCACACGATGAACAACCCAGCAAAGGACCATCTCGTTGGCGTTATAGTTGCCGACTCCTGTCGCTAACAGTCCTATTCTGTCCTTTTAAAACAAATCGGTTGCGCCATCCGGTAGCTCATGTCGTATAGTTTCACGTGTCACCCATTCGCTTTCGTTCTGTTTTGGTGCACCGGATGAGATCCACTTCACTGGTAAGAATGATGCTTTCTTTGGTTTTTTTCCCTCTGGCTGCACTCCACACCTCCCGTGCTGACGTCGCTCTCCCTCTCCGAACTCCGCTATCCCTTCATAGGGTTTCTCGTTGTCAGGTCCATATTACCCCCGACGGTAGGGAGTTACGATGGCGGCAGCCCCTTATCAACGATCCCTCGGTACTGCGTCCCTCTCTCTCTTTCGACGCCTATCGCCTAATTAACCTTTCACTTAACAGCCATTGATCCCCCCTCTACCAACAACCCCAGCAGCGGTACAGGCGCTAATGGCAATCTACAACGATCCGCTCTAGCTGCATTTGGCGTTCGCTTAATCTGTCGTTGACGCTGTCACACGCGTTCTCCATCAGCACTGGTGGCTAGACTTCAGCGTTCAGGCAGTTCTGTGAAGTACTGCATTGCCTGGCTGCAGCAGCCTCCGTTCTGTACTATTACTAGGACGAGGTGTACCCCCACCATTATTTGCATTAAGTTGCTATTGCTGACACTATTACTACAACCAATACTGCATTTTCTGGCTGGCTACGACGAGATGTTAGGTTAGGACGAAGTAAGTCCCCAGCCCAACCGGTTTCTGGCCGCTGCTACTGTCACTGGGCTGCAGAGCCGCAGCGCTACCCAGTCACTCCGATCCAAAGGCGCGGCAACCCATGGATGGCTTTCGGGGACCACCCCCGCCCTGCGGGGCGGAGCATTGGCGACGCGCCGCCCATATCGAGTGGAGAGGGAAACGTGCCGCGGAGGGCTAAAAGCAGACGAGCAAATGATTCAGGCAGCATATCGTTTTGAACAAGCGACAAGCAACAAGCATTTATAGTAGACGTAGTACTATTGGTAGTAACAAATGAACGCGTGTACTTGAGCAATCATTAGCGAAGCCAGACAAAGTGCTACAAGTTACTCTAGAAGTAGAAGAAAGGTTGGAAAGTTAAACGAAGGTTTTGTGAATCAACGTCATCATCAGCAGTCGTCACAACTTGTGTAACAGCTTCGTTTATCTCATTGTAGTTGGCAACAGCACAGCTATAACACGACAAATAATAACAAGCTATTGTTTGTTAGTGTTCGATCGACAAATCCGGAGCCGGTGCTACTTTGACTTTGTAGTGACACCCACGCACCCGCTATCACGATGACTGGATTATTAAATGATAGTGGTGCCGTAGCAGTGGACCAGGCAGCTGCGCCTGAGCAGGCCGTAGCGAAAAAATTCACCCCGTTTTCCGTTGATTATCTCCTTTCGGACGTGCTGCCGTCAAACAAACAAAGTACGGTTGAAGAGGACTCGACAAGAAGTCCCTCGCCCCGATCCGGGGCAACGGATCCCGATCCGTCAGATTCCGAGTCCGAACAGGAAGAGGCCGACGTCGAGGCTTCGTACCCACCCTTGACATCATCCGTATCACCGGCGCCGTCTCCATGCTCCTCAACATCGCCATCGCCTCTTGCTCTGTACCCCAATATGAGTGCATTCAACCCGGCTGAGCATGCGATGATGTCCACCATGGGGGTCGGTTGGGACGCTCTATATAACTATCCCAACATACCAATTGGTAAGTTTTGAATCTGCGCACAGTTACTAAAAACAAGTAAAAAAAATCTATAAATAGTTCATGGCTGTTTTGCAGTTATGCATATAAAGCGGATCAGCAGATGCAATTAATTAGCCATCAACATTTAGGATGTTTCTTGTGCTTAGGTAACACAAAAAGTTGAAAGGAACTCGTATTTGAATAGGCTTGTCGAACTGTAGCCGGATAAGTATAGCAAAAGAGGTCTACAAAATGTTTCTCAAACTAACAAAGTGTTTTTCCTTTTTGCGTTCCGCAGACGGTGGCCTAACAGAGCTACCAAAGCTGCCTCCTGGTCCAGTGAAGTGTCATCTGCGGAAGCATAAAACTAACCGCAAACCTAGGACACCCTTCACGACGCAGCAGTTGATGTCCCTAGAACGAAAGTTCCATGCAAAGCAGTACCTGTCAATAGCAGAACGGGCTGAGTTTTCGTCATCTTTAAAACTGACTGAAACCCAAGTGAAAATCTGGTTCCAGAACCGCCGCGCAAAGGAAAAGCGTCTAAAGGAGGCTGAAGATGAGCGTATTCGTATGGCTCAACGGCCACTACATCTAATGCATCCCCTGGCCGCCTTCGGATTGCCACTTATGCCGATGCACCACCCTCAAATGATGCCAATGCCTCTACCGAAACTGGAGAAATAGGCAGCCTCCAACAAAGTGTTTGTTGTCAACTGCTGTGTGCAGGGAAGTTAGCGGCATGCACTTCGAGCAATACATTTATAGAAGTAAATGACCTATTAGTCGTTGGCAAAGAAAATCCTCAATGAAGGGTAATTACCATCGGTTTCAAGCAGGAAGAGAAAACAATATTAAAAAATGAACCTCACAACTAAAACAGGCAAATGTATTTCGATCATTATCTTGCTTGGAGGGTCATTTCATAGCTCTCGACAACTCGGCAAATACTGCGTATTCGAAGAACCGCCATCGACCGCGAGTCCGCAGTATTAGCAGGTACACGATTTTCAAATATACGAAAGCATTCACTAACACAGAAAGTTGCTGCATAGGGTCGTCTGGAGCGAGGGTCACCCCCCGGAGCGATTTCGTTGGTTACCCCCACTCCGGAACAAGCAACCCCCGCCCAATTCGTGGAACATGGGCATGAAAGAGATGCAGAAAAGCTGCAGTAATAACAACGACAGCAACAACAGTTTCGATCACCGCCAATGGACGAAGGAAAGCGACACGAATCAACCCGCGCGCTCGCCGTCGTGTGCTTTTTAATTAACCACAGGTGGCTCAAGAATATAGTGCCCTGTTGTATCTCAAAGTCAGGCTGGCCCGATCTTGAGTACCGCCCGCTTATTTTAGAATAGGCGACGGCCGCAGCCATTTCGCGGGGCAACACCAACAGCTATGAATTGTACAGCCTAAAGAAAATCGAGTGCAGACCTTTTAAGGCTCTCGGCGAGACAACAGCATCCGAAGGGGTGTGGTAGACACCAGCTTTAATAACAGCCGGAGTTCATATATTGGCATGGTCGTGGACACATTAGAATTAACACATTCATTTGTGGAAAAACAAAATACACTCTAAAGTACATTATGTGTATATAGATATGTATGTATACGCTGAATGACTGTATATAAAACACTTGTAAGTAGCAACTACATAGAAGTAGTTACTAATGTAAATGTTTTTAAACGTGGTGGTACTATTTATACTATTTTCATGCACAGATTACAGAGAAACCTTATGCCGCATGTGAAAGTGAATAGGCATCTACGTACACATGGGCAAAATTATGGTTGTTATTATATCTCGTTAGATTTATTAACGGGATGTTTATATCTACCTTCCATCGGCGATCGGTAAAAGATGCGTCTTTCATTACATGTGTCCCAATCCGTATAGATGGAGTCGATGACGATAAAAACGCGAAACACAATAAAGCAAAAATACTGAATAAATATCAATATTCAGTGAATAGTACGACCTCGTGTGCTTATTCAGACGTTGTCCGCCCTTCTTCTCGCATAGCACCAATGCATAATGTATTCTTGAGGGGGCAAAATCTCCGCAGTCGGAGCGCAAGCGCCGAGGACAGCTAGAGCGGGTATATTGTCTGGGCATCACTCGTTCTTCGCAGAGTATTCGTAGAGTCGTATGGTTATACACTGCAAAGTCTCTATAGTGGAGGCGAATGAATGAGTGAGCCTTTTCTCAGCTTTATTCGTTGCTGGCAATTCTTCGCCCCAACCCACTGTCAGCTGTAATAAAGAAGGAAAGTGAGGAATAAAGGGCTTTGGCCAGCGAAGACTATGGTCGGCCAATCCCATCTCGAATCGTTGTGGGGATCGGGAACGCGGCAGTTTCTCCTGCAGAACACTTGGGGAGACTCTGCAAACCCAGTCCTCTAGCCAGTTGAGGTGGTGACGGCCGTGACGATACCAATGGTAGCAGCTATGGCGAGTACTTGCTGCTTAGTACCCAGCGCCTAGATCTACCGGTGCGGCGGCGGAAGGCCGCATCTTAATAGAGATTTAATGGGGCTTGGCAGGCATCGGCGGCAACCGTTCAGAAAGATGGGGTTCTATGGGGCGGGCTGAGAAGACGCGAATCCGGCTGCGGTCCGGGTAAAATTCTCGTGCCCGCAACTAGAGAGTGATGGGGAATGCCAGGCATTTGATGGTCCCAAAGCGGCAAGGCAACGTGAGACACCAAAAAGGGGAAAAGGGGCAGATCGGAGCTTCCCTTCGGAGTTGGCAAAACGCGCGAGACCGTCGGAAGTCGAGCAGCGCAGTCGATCCGTCGAGGCTCGTCTAGGCGGCGATGATGCTGCTATTAGAGCAGAGACTCAAAGCGCCCACTATCCCGCACCCCGGACCCCCAGACTTTCCTCAATGCCCAACCATTTTCGTTGGACGCCTCTGAAAAGGAGCAACCAAGTAGAAGATCAAATATTATATTAAAGCGGAGTGACGACCACGACTGTTCCCGCCTACCGCTAACAACGCTTAGAACTTTAAGTTTGCCCGCCAAACATGGCCCGATAGCTTCAGAAGCTTTTAGGGATGCTAAGCTATTGGCAACTGAGATTTGAAAAATCGCATATATATATATATATGTAATATTATTATAAAAGCACAATCATAGGCACAGAAATACGAAGGAATAACCCTTTATACACATTCTGGAGTAAAAGTCTGCTGAAGGTTGGAAAAAAGCTTTGTATAGGTTCTACTCTCTATTTAAAATGAAAACTGCCAAAAGACCTCGTACTCGTCTATATTTAAACAGTTTTCGTAACCATTATGAGCTATAGCACAGCTAAACAAGTATAAAAATGCTTGATAAGTGAATCCTTGTACAGCAATTTGGATCACATAGGCGTAACAACGCAACAGCTTTTACTGATCAGCTTATTTAATGGCAAATGATATAATGCTAAACTATTGAGCGTTTATTCATACCTTTGGCCATTATTGTACACCGTCGACGTAATAATGCGATGCTAAAGGCGTCAAAGCTATATGATTGACCTCAATACAGCTCAAAACCTTAGAATAGGATTTCGGAAAGCCTGAAACAAGTGAAGGGCGTCAGCTCCGTTCATAAACCTCCGTGCTCAAATCCACAACACCGATGAATGTCCTTGGATAAGTGTATACATTTTTACGCTTATATATTGCCTGCCACCAATGCGAAGGATGCTGATCTCAAAAACCAGTAGCTAATAACAAAGCGCTGATTGACGCTTTATACAGTACCTGGCATTGGTATCTATCAGATTGTACGAATGAAGAACTAACCAGGCTGCAACGTAGAGAATGCAAATTCAGGTTTGCTTTCACGACTGGCCTTAAACAATTGGCAGCGGGCGCCTACCATATAT